CAATTATCTTAGCAGGAAATGCTAGCATGTGTTCCCCAAAGTTAGAAAGTTTGCCCATGCCTGGTCTTGAGGGTTGCAAATTCATTGCCATGTGACTTGTTTTTCTGAGACATGGAATGGAGGGATCACGCACTTCTTATTTGTAGTGCTGAAAACAATTAGAGCAGCTTTGTAAACAAATCCATAGAAGTAGTTAGCCTGCGATAAAAACAAAATGATACACATGCATGCTAGTCAAAGGCTGGGAGAAGAGAAACAAAACTGCATCTCAGTGAGAGGTGCAGAGGAGGAGAGAAAGGACTTCCTCCCCGAGTTTGTTTAGTTACTGTATATGAACAGTGTTCCTGCCACCTTAGATGACCTGGCTGATGCTTAGGCCCCTTCTACACTACCATATAATCCAGATTAACAAAGGAGATAATCCACATTATCAGCTTTGAACTGGATTATATGAGTCTACACTGCCATATAATCCAGTTCAAAGCAGATATCTGGATTTTATATGGCAGTGTAGAAGGGGCTTTGGATACAAGGCTGAATTAAAAGTTTTAGCTGCCCTATACTTATTTCTTCTCAAAAGGTCTATATCTGGAAATGCTAATGGGAAATGTGACTTTCTCTTCTATGGCACTTCTATAAAAACATTTTGGAAGCCCAACATTCTGTTCCACATGAATCAAGACACAATTCAAGTTATGATGTGAAGTCCACCTTCTCCTTGTCGGATATTTGGAACAACAAATATCATTAATCTCAGCCAAACAGTCTGTGGTTAGAGATCATGCGGATGGTAGTCAAACTCATATGTAGGACAGCAAGTCAGAGGAAGCACCTAATTACAAGTTTCAAAGAGTCTTTGCTATATGGAGAATTCTGACTCCTACTCCATGGTATAGCACATTTACCTGGTAGCTTTGTGAAATTTCAGACCTCACAGTGCAAGTTATCAATGAAACCAAAGCAAAATGATTCTGGTGACCTGTCCCTCTGCTCTACAAAGTTGTTTCTGCTGCCTTCCCACTCTCCAAGTTGATGCTGCTAAGCTGGATGAGCCCAGCATCTAAGCAAGTTGCTTCCTGATTCATCTTGCAAAGTGGTTCTTAACCTGTGGGCCACGGACCACTAGTGGGCTGCGAAGACTAAAATCTGGTCCTCTCTATTTGTTTTATTTTATTTTATTTTATTTCTGCTCCTTTTATGCCTCCTGTCACTCCTTCCCTGTCGCTGACCATGGTATATGTTCTGTGTCAGAAACTAGAGCTGATGTGGTCTATCCAATGCAATTTTCTGAATCAGCACCTCAAACCGAATCTAAAGTTGACCAAAAACTGATTTGTAACCTTTTTGGTACTAATGTCGGAGAATGGTCCCTGGTCAAAGTGGTCTCTGTTCAAGTGATCACTGGTCAAGTGGCCCCTGCTCAAAGTGGTCTTTGGTCAAGTGGTCCGTGGTCAAAAAAAGGTTAGGAACCCCTGATCTAGCATGATTGGTTCTACTGGTTCCTTTTCAGTGGCACGGTGGAAGACCACCAAGGTATATATGAGGTGCTACACAGGCTATAATTCAGAGAAAGGAACTCGTAAAACCACCTCTGAGTCCTCCTTCCTAAGAAAATGCTATGAGATACATGGGATCATCATAAGTTGACAAGAGACTTGAAAGCACTCACATACACAATATGATGGTTGATCAAGGTTAGTTAAACAGTCCATTGTCTGGTAGGTTGCCTAGAATCCACAGCAAAGATTTTGTGGTAAAACTGAAAAAGTTGCGTGCCTTCATGTTTTTGTTCAGTACCAGAAATCATAAAGGGAGTTGGAAATACTGGCTGCAAGAGGAAGTCAGTCAATGCTTGGGAACATTGCTTTTTTAGACTCTTAACTTGAAATCATCACAGCCAACCAGCATATTGGCTACTCGCCTGCATAGCCAGGAATTACTGTAGCCATAGATTGTGAGTTTTCTGGGCTGTATGGCCATGTTCCAGAAGCATTCTCTCCTGATGTTTACTCTCCTGCAGTCTTTGCATCACTGTAGAGGCCCCCACTGACATTCATACTCCTATTTGTTTGCCTTTGCTGACCACTGCTCTTTTGCGGCTGTTGCTCACCTTCCTCCCACATATGCTGCTCTGCTGACTCTTGCTCATCTTCTCCAGGCCAGAAGGCAAAGGAGCAAAACAGACAGCTGAGCTAACAGTAAGGCAGGGACAAATATAGAGGCCAGATTTCTGAAGGCCCCATGGGCTGTCTATATATATATAGGTAAAAAATGACTCCCAAATATTGTGCATCCAATTTTTGAAAAGTGGAGCTTTTTCGATGTTAAAACACTGCCAGGAGGTTCAGGGGCACTCCTTCTTTACCCTTGTGATAAAGTAAAAAGGTAATTTGGGCCCTTGGCCATGAACCCCCTTCCATGGTTTAGGATTCAGCAAAGAGGCGAATGAAACAAACCTTGGGCAACTCAGGGCCTTTCCACACAACCATACAGCCCACAATATAATGGCAGAAAATCTCACAATATCTGCTTTGAACTACCATATATTCCAGTTCAAAGCAGAAATGTGGGGTTTTATTCAGCTGTGTGGAAGGGGCCTCAGTCTGTAGATCTATCTGCATGATTGAACTCTGATTTAGTAATTACTGTCACTGAAAACCAGAGGGTATAGTGGTTTGACGGTTTAACTATTGCCCTTTGGATTAGGCTTCGAACTGGTGTCTGGCCATGGAAACCGACTAGGTGACCTTGGTCAAGTCACACTTTTTTTTAGATTTAATAATAGCTGGGTGGAGAGTTAAGAGTGGGTGAATTTTCCCAGTGACAATGAAGTCATTAAACTACTCCTGATGTAATGCAGAATATGCTGAGGTGGTTTGGAGCTAAGTGGTCAATTAAAGGCTATTAGCATTACAAAGGTCCCATTTCTGGTACTGATAAGAACTGCTAGAACTGGTTTGTTGATATGGATCAACAAAGCAGCTTGCATATTCGGACTCTTTTTGGAGATGCATGGCTATGGAGGTAGGCAGGAAGAGCCCTTGTGTTCCAAACAGTGCACTACTAAGCAACCTTTAAAACTCTGGCATAGACACTGAGAACTGGGAAGCCCTGGGCCTTGAGCGCTCCAGTTGGAGGTCAGCTGTGACCAGCAGTGCTGTAGAATTTGAATAGGCACGAATGGAGAGCAAAAGAGAGAAATGTGCCAAGAGGAAGGCGCATCAAGCCAACTCTGACCAGGACTGCCTTCCACCTGGAAACCAATGCCCTTACTGTGGGAGAAGAAGCAGATCAAGAATAGGGCTCCACAGTCACTTGCGGACCCACCGCCAGAATGCCTAAGTAAGTAAGTATTAACCACGTGCTTTCAAAAAGTTGCCTTTCAGACAGCATCTCTAAACTGACTTAGCCAGCAGAACAAACCAACAAAGGATTCCTCCAGGCAGGAAGCCACCAGGCTTTGAAGTTTCAAGGCTATTCAATGCTAATTAAGTACGTCAATTGCAACATACAGACAAGAATTCTTTCTCCCACCCTGGACATTATTCCACAGATATAGAAACCCCACTTGATTAGTTTCCAACAGACCTCACAACCTCTGAGGATGCTGGCCATACACGTGGGTGAAACGTCGGGAGAGAAGGCTTCTGGAACATGGTCATAAAGTCTGGAAAACTCACAGTAACCCAAACTATTGGTAGTTTGTGTAGTCATCCTTCCCTTCAAAGAGTTGTCACAGATGATTTTTCAAATGGGGACTGAATTAGCTTGATGAGGAAGACAGGTCTGCCAAGGGTTCCTAGAGATGGTAAACACACCGAGTCTTCGTTTTCAAAGGCAATATATAGTACATCTGAATATCGGATGCTGGGCACAAGAGGGGACTTTGATGTTGCCAGCGGAAGCTTTAAAGGCATATTCTGAGTCAAATAAATTCAGTGTCAGATCAAGCAAGCTGCACTTACTTAGGTATGGGCAACACATAGGCCTTCGAGTGTTGTGGGACTGCAATTTCAATTTTTCCATCCAGCAGTCTGACATTAAGAAAGCCACAAGTTGTTACTATTCTTGCATATGAAATTCATTGTGAGCAGCCAGTGTCTTGCAGAACCCTATTGGGCAGCCAGAGCATTAAAAAAAATTGTCCAGGTTTTATTTATTTATTTATTTTTTTCTTGTCAGGAGTGACTTGAGAAACTGCAAGTCACTTCTGGTGTGAGAGAATTGGCCATCTGCAAGGACGTTGCCCAGGCGACGCCTGGATGATTTGATGTTTTTAATCATCCTTGTGGGATGCTTCTCGCATGTCCCCGCATGAGGAGCTGGAACTGATAGAGGGAGCTCATCCGCCTCTCCCCGGATTCGAACCTGTAACCTGTTGGTCTTCAGTCCTGCTAGCACAGGGGTTGGTGGTTTGAATCTGGGGAGTGGGGTGAGCTCCTGCTGTGAGGCCTAGCTTCTGACAACCTAGCAGTTTGAAAACATGCAAATGTGAGTAGATCAATGGGTACCGCTTCTGCAGGAAGGTGATGGCATTCTGTGCAGTCATGCCAGCCACATCACCTTGAAGGTGTCTATGGATAACACCGGCTCTTCGGCTTAGAAATTGAGATGAGCACCACCCCACAGAGTCAGTCACAACTAGACTTAATGTCAAGGGAAACCTTTACCTTTACTTATTGTACTTGCTTCCAGTTCTCCATCAAGCCCCCAAAGAGGCAGCATCTCTTTCCAACTCCAGTCTGCACAACTATACTGCATCTCCTATGTCAAGCTTTGAATAAGTTACTTTTAGAACTCCAGCTCCTTCACTGCTGAAAATTCTGCCTGAAACCTATCTAACCTTTAAATACCTCTTTGGAAACCAAACCAATAAACTCCAGAACCTTAAAAACAAAGCAGGGGATAAATATTTTCCTATCAATGCAATCCTAAACAGTTGTTTTGTGTTCAAGACAAAAGATACAGAAAAAAGGTTGCAAACTCTTTTCTTCGCTTACCTCCATGATTTCAACTTGTGGGTGCCTTGTACCCTGGACCTGGCATCTCAGAGCTTTCTGGTAGAGTCAGACCCTGAGCTGGCCTCCATCTCAAGGCTCTTTTTCTTATATATATTAGCCTTCCTGGCAGGCAAGATCTGCAAGTCTCCTGCAACTGGGGAACCTGGGTGCCTCTTAAGCCCGAGCTCTCGGAAGTCTGAGCAGAAACACACCCACCCTTTCTCTTCCCTCCCTTCCTTCCTCCCAGAGATTTTTCCCAGCCCCTTTTCCCTACCCTCTTGAATGAAGCAGGGAATAGGCATCACTTCGCATTTCCTGCTGAAAGCATGAAATCTCCTGAGGGGGAGTGGGGAATGAAAGAGGAAGAGGAGTGGGTTTGTGAAGTTAGCTGCTGTTGCAGGAAGTGGTGTGTCAGAGAATTGAGTATGGGCCAAGATTCAACCAGTCATGGGCAGGAATCATAGAATCCTAAAGCTGGAAGAGACCACAAGGGCATCCACTCCAACCCCATTCTGTTATGCAGGAATATACAATGAAAGCATTCCTGACAGATGGCCATCCAGCCTCTGCTTATAAACCTCCAGCGAAGGAGACTCTGAAGCTACACATTCCATTGCCGAACAGGTCTTACTGTCCCCCTCGATGGACTGTCACTTTCTCATGGTGAGAGGGCTTGCGTGTTCCAATGATCCCGCAGGCACAACAACTGGAGTTGTGCACTCCCAGGAGTGGCCGTGGGGAAGGTTCCAGACCAAGGACAGTCCAAGACCCAAAGACCTCAAGACCTCAAGGTCGGAGCAGGCGGAGGATAACAGGGTACATTGTATTGTCAAAGGCTTTCATGGCCGGAATCACTGGGTTGTTGTAGGTTTTTTCAGGCTATATGGCCATGGTCTAGAGGCATTCTCTCCTGATGTTTCACCTGCATCTATGGCAAGCATCCTCAGAAGTAGTGAGGTCTGTTGGAACTAGGAAAAAGGGCAAACTTTTGTTGAGAGGTAATTAGATGTCCTTGTTTGTTTCCTCTCTGTTGTTGTGCTGTTGTAATTTTAGAGTTTTTTAATACTGGTAGCCAGATTTTGTTCATTTTCATGGTTTCCTCCTTTCTGTTGAAATTGTCCACATGCTTGTGTATTTCAATGGCTTCTCTGTGTAGTCTGACATGGTGGTTGTGAGAGTGGTCCAGCATTTCTCTGTTCTCAAATAATACGCTGTATCCAGGTTGGTTCATCAGGTGCTCTGCTATGGCTGATTTCTCTGGCTGAAGTAGTCTGCAGTGCCTTTCATGTTCCTTGATTCATGTTTGGGCACTGCGTTTGGTGGTCCCTATGTAGACTTGTCCACGGCTGCATGCTCTAGGCAATGTCAGGCCATTATATGCTAATCAAGGTAGTCAGTTGAAACATTCACACCTAGCTCCAGCAGACAAGAGTCCTTTGTCTCACCCTGGTCATTCCACAGATATTGTTTGCTTGTTCATTCGTTCAGTCGTCTCCGACTCTTCGTGACCTCATGGACGAGCCCACGCCAGAGCTCCCTGTCGGTCGTCACCACCCCCAGCTCCTTCAAGGTCAGTCCAGTCACTTCAAGGATGCCATCCATCCATCTTGCCCTTGGTCGGCCCCTCTTCCTTCCACAGATATATAAACCCTTTTTCCTAGTTCCAACAGACCTCACTACCTCTGAGGATGCTTGCCATAGATGCAGGCGAAACGTCAGGAGAGAATGCCTCTAGACCATGGACATATAGCCCAAAAAAACCTACAACAACCCAACATGGTACATGTTACAACGGCTGTGAAGGCGGAAGAAGGCTGCAACAGATTGAGAAGCCACGGCTGTCTTGGTAAAATATGCCACCCGTGGAACCTCACTCTGTGAAGACTGTGTGTTGATCAGTTGTGCACTGACCTCCACACATTAAAAAATTCATGCACAGGCGTCTTTCAAAGGAAAATATAAACAAACCAATGCAAGTCCCATGGCGATCAGCGAGTGGCGACAGGGGCAGGACTGTGAAATCTGGAAGACCCTAGTCACAGACTGGCACATGGGCGGTGGATACGGACTCAGTCATTCTATCTCAAGGTCTGAGGCAGTTGAGTAGTTCGGCAGCTGTATCCATAACTGAGCAGCCCTTTTGAGGATCTACTCTGCTCATCCCATATGGGGAAGGGGCCAGAAAAGGTGCCCTAAACATAGGCTGCCACCAAGAGGAAGGCGCATCAAGCCAACCCCAACCAGGACTGCCTTCCACCTGGAAACCAATGCCCTCACTGCGGGAGATGATGCAGATCAAGAATAAAGCTCCATAGTCACCTACGGACCCACCCTGGAGGATTATCCTACTTGGAATATGAGGAATCGCTTAAGTAACTGTCAGGAAGTTTTCCCTAAAATTTAGGTGGAATCTATTTTCTTGCCATTCAAATCCATTGCTCCGTGTCCTAGTCCCCAGACCAGAAAAAAACCAAGTTTGCCCCCTCCTCAATGTGACATCCTTTCAAATATTTAAACAAGCCTACCATGTCCCCTCTTAACCTTCTCTTCACAAAGATAAACACACTTCCTAACCAGCTCTCCCTAACAAGCCAGGACTTAACTAACGAAGCAGATGGATTTGGAGAGAGGTGTTGTGGTTGGAGTCCAAAGTGCAAAAGTAGTTTGTACTCAGGCCCCATCTACACTGCCATATAAAGTCCAAATTATCTTCTTCGAACTGGATTATATGGTAGTGTAGACTCCTATAATCCAGTTTAAAGCAGATAAGTCTGGATTTGATATGGCAATGTAGATGGGGCCTCAGCTAACTCAGGAGAGGGGAGAGGAATGGGTAAAATCTCACCCTTCCCAGAAGTCCCGGTCAAAAGCAGACTGCTGCATCTCCCCCCTCCCCCCGAGCATGTCTATCTTTTCCTGTTAATAGTTTTTTACCATTTTAACAACACTCTTATGTTGCTTAGTTGCACATGTCCTGGTTATCATGCGTAGGAGGACAGGACAAAACAGGGTGGATGAGCTACGAAGTACATGTACACACTCTCATTATACCACACAAGTTCAGCAAGAGCTTTCAATCTTCTGAGCATCATTCCACTATTACCATTCAACCTTCTTCTTCAAAAGTTGCTGTCCCCTAAACGTGCCTGCTCATCCAAAATACAATAAAATAAGGCCTATAGACTTGCATCATTCATAGATAGACAAATGGATACTATGGGTGACACAAACACACATACAACAAACAAAAGTAGCACAGGGTTGTTGTAGGTTTTTCGGGCTGTAAGGCCATGTTCCAGAAGCATTCTCTCCTGATGTTTTGCCTGCATCTATGGCAGGCATCCTCAGAGGTTGTGAGGTCTGTTGGAAACTAGGAAAATTGGGTTTATATATCTGTGGAAAATCCAGGGTGGGAGAAAGAACTCTTGTCTGTTTGAGGTAGGTGTGAGTTTTTCAATTGGCCACCTTGATTAGCATTTGATGTCCTGAGAGTTTTTAGGTGTAGCGTGTTACTGCCTGGGGGAATCTTTTGTTGAGAGGTGATTAGCTGTCCCTGATTGTTTCTTGTCTGGAGTTCCCCTGTGTTTGAGTTTTGTTCTTTATTTACTGTCATAATTTTAGATTTTTTTTTAAAATACAGGTAGCCAGATTTTGTTCATGTTTATGGTTTTTTTCTTTGAAATTGTCCACATGCAGGCAAAACGTCAGGAGAGAATGCTTCTAGAACATGGCCATACAGCCTGAAAAACCTACAACAACCTAGTGATTCCGGCCAAAACTCAGTAGATGGCAAGGGCCCATTTAGTAACTAGATGTTTAGGATGTCCCAGTTTTGTCTGTTTTTAAGTGTTGATCTAAGGAGTTCAAATGCCAGCCCACTGAAGGACCTTGGACAAACCACATTTTCTCAGCCTCACATGAAAGCTATGACAAATTGTCTCTGAATTGGGTTGTTGTAGGTTTTTTCGGGCTATATGGCCATGTTCTAGAGGCATTCTCTCCTGACGTTTCACCTGCATATATGGCAAGCATCCTCAGAAGTAGTGAGTGTCTCTGAATTAATCATATCAAGAAATCCATGTGAAAATTCATGTTAGGGTTGGAAAGATCTTGGCAAAGTAGCCTAGGAACAGTCAGAGAGACCTCCAGTACTTGTTGCAAGTCAGAGTCTGCCACCTTCTGGCTTGTCACCAAACTGTACAAAATAAAATACAGTTGATCCATTTCATACTATAATACTTTCATTCCACTTTTCCCTCAACTGCCATTGCTCTATACATGGAATTGTAGTTTTACAAGGCCCTACAATTCTCTGGCCCAGGATTTAAAATGCTCCAGGCTTTGAGAGGATGGAACAATAGTGGTTAAAGCAGGATCAAAGTGCTACAATTGTGTGGTAAGAAAGGACCAAAACCGGCAAAAACAAGCAGAAAGCCATCTAGGACTGTTTTTACAGTATTAACAGTTTTCTCCAGGACTAAAATCATTTGTTAAGTCAGTTTGTGTAGAGAATCCAGATGACAGTGTCATCCCATTGCATCTGCTTTCTGCCCTCTTTAATGAACCTCATTTGTGGCCATTTTTGGGATGTCAAGAGAAATGCTTCAGGCTAGTGATGTTCTTCTCTCTCACAATGATGTGCCCTGCATTTCTTGTCTCCTTTGCTATTGCTACTCACCATACAACTATAATCTTTCCTTTTCGGTGCCACCACCACCAAAGCACTATTTTTCCTTTTGCATTGTGGTACTTCTGGATCTGACAGCCAGCATGGTATAGTGATGTGAGTGCTGGATTAGGAATAAGATTTTTAAGCCAACCTTAAAAACTGTGGCATAGACACCAAGAACTGGGAAGCCCTGACCCTAGAGTGCTCTAACTGGAGGTCAGCTGTGATCAGCAGTGCTGCAGAATTTGAAGAGGCACAAATGGAGGGAGAAACATGCCAAGAGGAAGGCACGTCAAGCCAACCCTGACCAGGACTGCCTTGCACCTTGTGCTGGTACGGTTGTACCAGGAGCTCCAACTTCATTTTCTTTCTATTTAATGTTTGCATGCATTCCAAGGTTTCAGGGGTTTTGCAAAAAGGTGACTTCCCTTGGTTTGCAGTTATAGGGCTAGCCACCTGTCTATCATTGTTGTGTTTGGTTCTGCCCCTTTCCCGAGGGATCTGGGGAGGAGAGGGAGCCATTTTTAGTTCAGTCTTATAGAAGGAAACTAAACTATAGGACGTGGACCAGCTTCACCTGCAGAAAAGCTTCATTTCTTAAGAATTTCC